CTATATAATGAATGCAGTTAAATAATACCAAAAATTTACTCATATAATTATGTGTATATATTTTAATCATGTCATATAAAATATTTATATAGTCATATTCCTTGTTTTACTCTCAAAATACATAGGTGAAACTTTCAAGCTTTTTACATGCATGTTTGACATCATGTCTATCGCTGTATTTTGAGTCACATATCACAATACTACAAACCACATCATCTTCAGGTTCATCTTTGTCTGAAAAATAGCATTTTTTCAGTCTGTGTATGATACTGTTATTGGAAATATGTTATCAAAAGCACCAGTATGTACACTTTTTTTTTGTTATTGTTGTTGGTTTTTAGGCTTTTCTAGATGGAAATGTTATATCCACAAGGCAACTTTTGACTCTATGCTCATGTAAGTGATTTTTAAGAGAGTGACTTACAAAGACAGCCAATTATTGGCTTTTTCAAAACAACACACCCAGGGAGAGTTACTGAATTTCCTTGTGTGTCTTCTTTTTCTCCACTCCCTCCTTCTCCTTTCCTCCCTGCTCCCACCCTCATTCTGCGCCTTCCCCTACCATTGTTCTTCCTCCTTTCTCCTTTAGTTGTGACCAATTCTATTGCTAACATCTCTAAGCATCCCCACATAACCTTGACTCAGGTCATTTGATCGTAATGTGCCTCCCCAAATAATACTTTCCCAAACTTCACAGGTCAAAATTAAGCAATTTAGAGCCATCTGTGTTATGACACACCATGTAAAAATTCACCTATAATTTGCCTCTCATTTAGATAGATATTCAGATTCTATTACATTTGGTCTTTACAAAATCTTTTAAGGCAGGGGTTACCATACTGTATTTTAAACATATGGAAACTGAGACTGAGGAATTCCTTAATTATTCAAGCTCTGTCTGATCCCCAAATCCTTTTTATCATTACATTACATTGATATTTACATAAAGATGGTAAGATAAATTTTAGCTCTCCTGTTGTCACATTCTGAAATATATAACTTCAATTTTCTCATTCCATCAATCTATATTTTCAAATTGTAGGTATGATGACAATTCAAAGTTTGTTGAATTCAATTCAATTCAAAGTTTGTTGAGCTTTGAACAGCTCCTGCTGTTTAGTCCTTAGTGAAATACCCATGCTTCCTACCCGTCTAGTATTTTTAGACTCCTAAGGCACAGATACAAAACTCTTTCCTCTCTCAGTAAAATGTAAAGCACCTTTGCAAATCAGTATCTACAGTCCACCAATTTCCCATGACTAGACATGTTTAAGCCTCTGGTCATGATTAAAGTAAGATCTGCACAAATGTGTTTGTACCAAACTCTAAATGTGTGTATGTATGTATCTATGCTACAAATCTTTTATCTATTAAATATAACTGTATTTAACAACTGCATGATGATTTCATTTAGCTGTATAAGAAATTATTATGCTGATTTATATCATAGTCTAGACAAATACTCAAATTCTTTCTGAAAAAGAAAGATACAAATTTTAGTGATTATGAATCATTTTAATCAATATAAGTTTATTTTCACATATTTGGTTTTGAAAACATTTCAGTGTTGGTAATTGCTCTAATGTAAACAAACCCAGAACATTCACATCCAGGATAATTTCTGCCTGTAAAAAAATATTTTAAAATAGTATTATGGGTTGAATTGTGCTCCCCTCTCTCCCCCAATCCATATATTGAAGTCTGAGCCTCCAGGATCTCAGCACGTGACCTTATTTGGAGATAGGGTCTCTAAAGAGATAATTAAATTAAAATGAGGCAATTAGGGTGTCCTTATAAAAAGGGGAAATTTGGACACAAGAGACACACACAGAGGGAAGATTATATGAAAGACACAAGGAAAGATGACCAACTATAAGAGGAGACAAGCCTAGAACAGATACTTCCCTCATAGCTCTCAAAGGAACCAGCCCTACTGACACCTTGATTTAGACTTCCAGCCCCCAGAACTGTGAGACAATACATTTCTGTTGTTTAAGCTACCCAATCTATGGTACTTTGTTATGGCAGCCTTAGAAAGCTAACACAATAGCATTGTGAAATATTTGCTTATACACATCCATGTAAATGGACTTTATTGCCTTTGCTAGAATGCAGATTTTAATTTTAGTTTCATTATTATGATTATAAACAATATACAGAAATTTTTTATGGATTTATTTCTGCTACAAATAAATACATTTTTCTACATATATATTTCTCTCTACTGCATTCCTTTTAAATGAATTAATATTTTAAAATAACTTTTATTAGATTTTTCAAGAATTTCTATAAAAATATCAGGTAAAAATAGTAAGATGGGACAACATTAACAGGTTTATTTTATACTGTTCATAGGACGTAGTATTTCTACTATTTCCAGTGATTTAAGTTCCATTTTTAAGGGAGTGATTTTGTACTTCAAAAGAAATCGCATCTAATTTTCTACAGAACGGGTAGGGATTTATTTTTAAGAGACTGCTATGAAAGGTATCACATGAATGAAAATTGCAGAATTGTTACCATTGTGTTGATTAGTAATAGACTTGATTCTTCCAAAGTGTATTCTGTTGTCTGTAGGTAATGCAGAAGAGCTCCTAGAAAAGGAGAGAGGAAAAATTAAAGAATAGCAATTATCAGTCAAGAATAAAATAGCTTTGCTCAGGAATAGGAACCCATGGAGCTTATGAAAGCAATTGAAACTTCAAAGTTTTTCAGAGGGGTAACTAGAAATATATGGACTTTTCAAACCATACCATCTGCCTTGATTTACCTTCCAATGAATTGAAAGTTGCATCTCTGAAATTCAGATATTTAGGGCTTGCTTGAATCCTCTGGCTGATGCTTTTTCTAAATATAGCCATTAAAATTGAAACCATTTTCTTCACAGACATGCTTGAAAATTTGGGTACTTGGATGTAGAAAGTTTGGGGATATTTTTCTGGAAAAATAGCATAATTTAAAAATAATAGAAAATATTACCTGGATAACTACCTAAAGACATTTGTTACTTAGTGGAAATTGTTCTCAAATTTTACCTCTTTGTTCTTTTTTGTTCTTCAAATGTTTGTTTATTTCATGCCAAGGTGGTGGCATTATAAACTCTGCAGAGTTTAGTAGAGCATTTATGCCATATTTCAAATTGAAAGCAGGCTTGTCAGCAGGGTAGGACTTGAGTATTTCCCAAGCTATAGGGTGACTCCTATTTCAGAAGCCAATTATGTGATTAAATTATTCCAATAGTATAGCTTCAAAGATACTCACCAAATATCTCAAGAATTTAAGGATAATTTATATTTTCTCAGATTCTGTTTACTTGATGAGTTTTCCAAGTTAGGAAGAAGAGGGAGAATTGGATTGATATCCCATCACACTATGAATATAATGGGTCCTTAAAATCCAAGTGAGAACTAGTGGAATATTTTCATTGCATTGTAGTTTATGCTTGCCATATGTCTTCGGTATCTCAAACTGAGTCCCGTATTAGATATGAAAAGATGTCTGTACCCCTCCTTTTGGTAAACATTATGATTAAATTGTGAAAGAGAATGAAAGTTGCATCCTTGGGACTAGGGTAGCTGGATGATTTAAATAATCATAATTTTAACTTTTATTTTAAAGAATGAAATAAATCAAGAAAATTTTAACTTCTCTAGGTTAGTGAAAGAATGAATTTTATTTTATTTTAACTTCTCTAGGTTAGTGAAAGAATGAAATAAATCAAGTTGAAATAAAGAAAATCAAGATACAGCTTCTAAAACATTGAGAATCTTCACTTCTGTTAAAAATAGTTAAATTTTCAATGATAATAGAGTATTTTTCTTAAGAAATAATATATATACATAATTGGGTTTTACTCAAAATTTGCTTTTTACATTTTGTAAGCCACCTATGAAGTGACTTGTGTGATGCAGCTAGATAGCAAATGCAGAACAGTATTTAACATGGCTGATTATGGGATAGCTTTGCCTTTCCTCATATAAATAATATGTCCTTACCCAGATTCAGCACAGGATCAAACGTCATAAAAATGCATAATAGTATATTTCTATGCTACTTTGAAGAAGAGCTGTTGTAAGGATGAAATGTTTGACATACGTAACTTTTGGATCAGAGGCTGCCTGTAGTAAGGAAATAATAAATAAAAAGCAGGTCACTTTAATTCAACAAATATTCATACATTTGGAAATTTAATTGCTAAAGTTAAGATTGATAAATGTTAATCACAGTGACACTGTGGAGACTATTCCAAAATATACACTTTCATAATCATAGCCATTACTGTCCCCAGGGGTCTTATGCATGCAGAAGATGTTAAAGCAAGTCAGGGTGCATCTGCTGCTCCATTCATGGGATTCGTCCTTTAATCCAATGGTGCAGTCTGAGAGCCTCTCTTGGCCTTTGGTATCCATAAAATAATTATATAACCAAAATGGAAAATGAAATAAAAATAAAAATATATATTATATAATGGAAAAAAACCCCAAGTATAATGAAAATGAAAAATAAGGGAAAACTATCTCTAAAGCAGATGCTTGCATCACATCCTGCCCTTTCCTGCTCCATTCCTTCGACAATCCACATTCATCCAAATTAGAGTGGCTACTTTCCCTTCCATTTCTACCCAGTTTAGCCCTTGAGAGTGCACTTGCCAGGGAAGGCTACTTACAGACAGGGGTTTCAGGGAACACTGATTATCAGAGCCCAAATCTAGACCACTAAGTCAGTCTGTAAAGGCCAGCGAAGAGCAGGAAAATGGGAATTACTTTCAGCTATTACTAATCTGCACCAGATTTGGGTTGGAGGCCAACAATAAAAGGCTCTGTATCTTATTACTCATCACTTGAGTCCCTTGTTCCCCTTGTTCTTTAATTAACTTTTGTTATTTTTTTTAACTTTTGTTATTTTAAAGAGTGCTTTTGGAATGTTTTCACTTAAGGATAGGAAATGATGATCTTTTTTCACACTTTTAACTTTTTTGTTGTTGTTCTTTTTCTCCTTAGGGATGCAGATCTGTTCCTGTTAGACACAAGAAAAGCCCAAGCTTTAGATGTGGGTTGGCTTGTCTTTGATATCACTGTGACCAGCAATCATTGGGTAATTAATCCACAGAATAATTTGGGTTTACAACTCTGTGCAGAAACGGGAGATGGTAAGCAATGAATTTCAAATATGTTTTTTTTGTGGTGCTAGTTTTGACACATTAAGATTTACAGCTTTCTATACAATTTAACCAAGATAGAATAGAATGTTTTATACTTACGATGTGCAAGGTAGCACCTGCCATAGGATAGTGCAATATGTTAATTAGTTAATTGATTTGTAAACGTATTTTCCCAATGCACGTTTATTTTGAGGCTCTGTAGTGGGGTTGGAGGGGTAAAGAAGAATTAGATATTGTTTCTGGATCTCAAGAAGTTTTTAATCTAGTATTGAAGACCTGTACACAAACAAGTAGCACTACTGTAATATAATAACTCCAAAAGAAAACTTTATAAAAGTGCTATGGATCTATGTCTTGATTATGATGGTAGTTATACAACTACATAGTTTGTAAGAATTTATAAGCTGTACATTGAAATAAATATTATTGTATGTAAAAGACATCTCAAAATGACTAAAAATAACAAAGATATATATATATGTATATATATTATATGTATACAGTGGTGTCAGGGAAACAGGCAGAGGAGCTATTAATAATAAAAAGGGAGAAGGGAAGATGGAGATAAAACAAAAGAGGCACAAAGTACTGCAGAAAATAAGCATCGTTAGGTCTTAACATATTCCAATATTTGGTCAAAGACAACAGCTCCAGAATCAACTGTTGGGTGGGAGAGTCTGTAGGAAATCTTCATTTTGAAGAAGCTCCAGAAATTATTGTGCTTACAAGTATTCATTGAGCACCAGTTTGTGGTATGTATGCTTGGCTAGATGCTGGAGATAAAACAGTAAGCAAGGGCAGAAATGCCTCATGAGGCTTGCAGTTGAGTGAGGCTCAGGTAGTGATCACATAGATCTATTAGTGAATGGGTGATACTGCATACTGAGAAGAGCCCAGTGGATTTACAAGTATAGATCAGTGAGTGAATCTAAACTACGGTCTTAAAGATCAGGAAGATGTGATTAGGGGAAAAAGTCAGGGGCAGGCATTTCAGACAAATGGAACAGAATTGACCAAGACTGTGGTAAAAGGGGCCTTTGCACATTCCAGCAGGAGGCCAGGGAAGCCCAGACCAATTTATTCAGAGCCTTGTTGTCCTTTGATCACTCAAAGAGTCCAAAAATTTTAAATCCAAATCTGGACTTTCAAGTCATGTAAAATTATATTTGTCATGATAATAGGATAGAACATAATTTATTTAATGATTTGTTAGTACTTTTTACATATTTAGATGTAGACCAAGTGGGCTTACGTTGTGCTCTTGCCCCACACCCTGCAAATGTGAGGGCTAGGCACAGGGAAGGTAGTTTATAAAGGGATGGTTAATTAGAGGGTGTGCCTTATTTAAGCTTTACTGCCTTTAGTTTTCTGCAGGCTCAGACAATGGACACATTAGCCCTAGAGTTTGCCCTACTCAGTCCTCTGCTATATTACACTAAAGCCTTGCTTAATAAATACAGAGTTAAGTAGAAGTTAGGTCTGACTTGGATCTCTTGCAAGGGGGTTTTATTGCTATAAGCAATAGGACTTCAGAGTGGCATTGTTTTACCTATATAACCAGATTTACAGCCTAAGAATAATATTATAACCAATGTTGGTACCCCAAGGATTGCATATATGAAATGAGGCTGACAGATACAAATTAAATTTATTACAGAGTTCATCTAGTGAAAGTTTCATGCTTCAGATCTTGATCTAGAAAAAGAGTTCTTAGTATTATTGACCAGTTTCAGACATTTTCCCACTAAATCTAGACTTTTCCATAGATTTTAATTACAATGCTGCATTTTAATTTTTTAATGAACAATTCAAATATTTTGAATTATAGGCTATTTTCCAATTATGGCTTTGAGATTACCATTAAGGATTTTCAGAGTTCAAGCATTATAAATGTAGATGGAGAAAAGCCCATATTTAAATAATCTTGCAGGAATTCTTACAATGTTAAACTACTGTACATTTATGGTCAGAAATGTGACTGGGAAGTCAGCACTGTGGGGGTGAGCCGTCGTTTCTTCCCTGGTATGTGGCCCAAAGAAGAAAAATTAAATTAGTGGTATGTGTTTCTCCCAGTCTTCTCCTTGGGGAGATGCTTGAAATGTCTAAACAACTCAAGAGATCTATGATATATGATCAGCCTTTTCATTCCCTACCCACTCACACCCCACTTGAAAATTCTGAAATTTCTCTCTTCTGTTTTTTTCCACTCCTTCTTCTGTATTGGTTCTCTTTGCTTTACTATCCATATAATTTGGCTTCTGTCTTGCTTTTCATTTATAGATGACTAGTTCTTGGGAAGAGAAAGTCTCTCCCCAAGAATACTTTATATTTTGGAGTTCTGCCTTCCTTGATTTATTTCTCTTATATATATTAATTTTACTTTAAATTATTGTGGTATTATATATGGGGGGCTTTGTGTTTGCTTTTGAATCTAAAATAAATATTTCACTTTTTTCAAAGGCTTCCCAATCTTTTATTTAAGAGTTAGGTTACCTATAGCCTTTGTTACTTTTCTTTATCTCTTTAATATTGTATAATATGAAAATATTAAAATGGTTAAATGTGCTAGGCAAGCTGGCTTTGTGCATTTAAGCAATACTTAAAACAGATTTTCACCAGAGCTGGAGCATATTTGGCCTTGAGAAATAAAGTGACCCTCCTGGCATCTTAATTTTATTAACTGCAACCTCATGGAGAGTCTACTTGTGACATTTCTCTATTAATATGGATAACCAGGTGCTTCAGCTTATTATTGCTTCATTCATTACTACTGCTGATGTTCTCAACATGATATTGCGATATTGCTTCAAACAGAGCAGACAAACTATCTTTAATTTGCAATAATGGATTCTGCATACATTTACTTCTCAGCAAAAGTAAGTGGTAGTCATGACTGGATGATACTCAGGAAAGTTTGCTTTCAAATTCATTTGTTGATTATCTACTTATTCACTTGTTTGACATAAAATTATTGAGTACCTACACAGGGAAGACAACATGTTAAAGGGCAATATAATCTGGGAGACAGACATAGGTAGCTAATTTTAGAAAAAGTAAAGTGTCCTAAATGCTAAAAACAGTGATATCATCAAGACACTCCAGGAAAATGGAAGAGAGAGGGTTAATTCCAGATAGGACAGAGCCAAAAGGTCTGTGGTTCAGGTAACTTTTAAGCCAGGTCAGTTGAATAAGATTCAAAGAAATGGAGGTGAGAAGAGAAGGAGTTCTGAGAGTATGTGGAGTGGTGGTGAGAACAGGAAGAAAGAATTCATTCCTGGATGACGAAATACTGTGAGTAAATGCAGAGAATGGCAAAATGGCATGGTATGGTCTGGAAAAAGTCAATAGTTCAGAGTCGGCTAGAACAACATTCATGTCTAAAATATGACTGCAGATGCTATTAGGAAAGTGATTTGGAGGCAAATCATGGAGGGAAAATGAAATCTCACTTATGTATGATATGTTCTTGTTGCTTGATCACACATCATAAAAGAACCAGGCCTGCCACTTTAATCAATCACAGCCACACCATAGTGATTACATGTTTGAATGAAGGTCAGTTTCATGAGGTCATAGGATGTGTATTGCTCCTTCACAGTTGCACCCTCTGTGCTTGGTACAATGAAGGTTGTGGGTAGGTATTAGAAACGTGTCTTGAATGATCACTGAATGAGTTTTCAACTTAAAAGACTTTTATACGCCACCTGCCACCGAACACGTTACTCCTAAGAAGACATTCCAAAGTGTAACTTTTGGGTGATTATTAACCAAATCAGTTTGGTGTAACTCAGGGGCAGAATTTTGTACCCATCTCACAGTACAGTAGTTAAAATGGTTTCAGTTATAAGCTGAGGAGAAAATCAATGACGTATATTATTAAATTTGGATTATCCTGCTCCTGCAAAAAAAAAAAAAAAAAGGTAAGAGGCTGAAGTATATATTTTGGAAATCAAAAGATTGCTGAAATCAAAGGTAGCATTATGATTCCTCAGAGGAACTGAAAACTATGTCAGTTTATGAAATACTCTTTTTAGAAATTTGACAAATGAACTGCTGTGGATTTGGCAGGAGAGTTTAAGGATATTTTATTGATTTTTTTCTCATACAGAATAATTCTCCAAACTCCTCATGTTTGTTTCAGCAAAATAAAGCAAGCATATGATCAGGCTAACAAAAAAGAAACATTGCTGCTTCTTAATGGTCAAATCTAGAGATTCCAGACAAGTGGTTGGATCCACTTGTGCAAAATCAGTTTCAAAGTTCTCAAGCATTCTCTCATGGTGGTTAATAAATCTGTGTGATAAGATAGGTACTCTTTTTTAAATAGCAAACGAGGGGCGCCTGGGTGGCTCAGTCATTAAGCATCTGTCTTCGGCTCAGGTCATGATTCCAGGGTCCTGGGATCAAGCCCTGCATCGGGCTCCCCTCTCGATGGGAAGCCTGCTTCTCCTTCTCCCACTCCCCCTTCCTTGCTTGTGTTCCCTCTCTTGCTGTCTCTCTCTCTGTCAAAAAATAAAATCTTTAAAATAAATAAATAAATAAATAGCAAATGAGTAGGCTTAGGTCTGGTTTATAATTTAAGATTTTCAGCTACCCGAATTATAAAAAATACATTAATTGTCTGACTTATTAGGTCTTTATTAAGATTGTTGATAAATCTATGGTATCATTATCCTTTGTACACACATATACACAGTTCATTACACAGATAGCAATTTTACTGAGATTTTAAGACTTAGAATTTCCTTCCAAACACTATAATTTCCCACTGTTTGATGCTTTATATAGTTTACACCTTCCAAGTAAATTAATTCTTTTTTCAAACTTGGGTTTATAGAATAATTTAGAGATGGAAAAACAAAGAGTATTTTTGGGTTCATTAGAATGTCTTTTAAAAAATCCTATGTTTTCAGACATTTTAGGTTTGGCAATACTCAGAATGAATTTTGCCAATGACTTTTTTTCCTTTCTATTCAAACCCACTTATA